ATATTCGTTTAATCTGCTAAGAAATGGAACAAAGGAAATTTAACAGATAAAGAACTAAATTTGGTAACTATGTTTTAAGGATAATTTCTAAAAATAAGTATTTTTAATTTTAAAAAGAAATGAATAGTATGATCAAAGTACTTTGCTGGGTTCAGAGAATACTAACATGAATAATTCAAGAGATGGAAATCATAACAGAGCCCTTCCTTGGTGGTGGGGTGGAGGTGGGGGGCAGTGAGGAAAGTTTCACAAGGAAGATATCATATAAACTGGCTTGAATGATGCTGAGGGTTCAACCAAAATAATAAGGCCATTAAAGGCAATAGCCAGAGCAAAGATAAGGAGGTTGAACAGAATATGATGAGAGAAACGGTGCCTCAGTGTCGGTGCCCAAGTACAGGGGGGGAATGGCTAGGGTCAGAAGGAAAAGGTGCTGAATGGCACGGTAAGGGTGTGCACCTTATATTCTGAGCATACAGCAAAGCAGCAAAGGCTTATGAATGTGTGATTACATAATCAGATTCATGTTAAGACTCTAGGGGCAATCTGAGAAACACATAAGAGGAAGAGGCATAAGAGGCATAGAAGATCATTTCAGAAGCTATTACATGGAAGACAAACAGTCCTGTATCGGAACCGAAAATCTGAGCTATCTCAAATGATCATTCCAAAGGATCAGTGTTTCAAACCACCAATTCCTGGTCCCTTACACTGGCCCTAAAATTTCTGTTTAGTCATGACAGTATGAGGCAAAAAAAAAAAAAAAGGAAGTTAATAAAGTAAAACAATTATTCTATTATAATAATTCCATAATAATAATTCATTCTTAATAAAATTAAAATGGAGGCAGGCAAATCGGATTTGGTTGTGTAAATGTGGAAGCATTGGTGGACTATCCAGGTTAGATGTTCACACAAGTTGAAAGTTAGTACTTGGGCTTGGTAGCCTTGGCCAACATGGCTCAGTGAGTTGGGCATCGTCCCACAAACTGAAAGGTCACAGGTTCAATTTCCATTCAGGGCACATGTCTAGGTTGCTGGTTTGGTTCCTGTTCAGTGGCAGGTAGCCAATCAATGTTTCTCACATTGATGTTTCTCTCCCTATCCTTCTACTTCCCTTCCCCTCCCTAAAAGCACTGAAAGAATGTCCCCAGGAGAGGATAAACAAATAAATGAAAAAAAAAGACCTGAGCTTGGTAGATGTAATATTGTGATTTAATAAGAAATATACATTTGGCCTTCGTCCCTGGTCCCTAACACAGGAAGCCTGTGGAGTCCGGGCCCAGGACCCCTCCGGGCAGTTAACATCAGAACTGAATTGAATTGCAGGACACCCTGCTGGTGCCTGCAGAGAACTGGAGAAGTGCTTGCTGAAGAAAACTCACGTATTTGATGTCAAAAGTGCTGTGAGCAGAGAAACAACTTTTCCTCTAGGACACAGGTGGCAAACACAAGGCCCAAGGGCTGAATCTGGACCTGCACTTTGTTTTATTCAGCCTGGCACCTTGTTTCTACCTGGTGGCAGCACTGAGCTCTTGTTTAACTGTTAAGTAGTAGTTACATTTATACAATCCTAAAGTTACACTCGGCCCTTTGAAGGCAACCTCGAAGCTGATGTGGTCCCCAGTGAAAATGAGTTTGACGCGCCTGCACCTAGTAGACAAGTCAGGTGTGGAAATATGAATTTGGGCATCATGATGTATGAGTAGTAAGTGACATCACCCCCTGAGAAAAGGCGTACATGGAGAGGAGTGTTAAAAATGAGCTCAGCCAAAGCCTGTGTCAGGAAGTAAAGAGGTGTAGGTAGTAAAGAGGAGCTAGCTGGGCAAAGTGTAAAGGGGGTGGTAGAGAAAAAATAGTGTCCTAGAAACTAAATTTTTGAAACATGGATAGGCTGTCAACAGTGAAAAAGCTAGAGTTCACAAAAGATAAGGACTGAGAAGAGGCCATTGGATTTGGCAACAAGGTCGCTATCTTCAAAGGTTCAACTTCAGTGGAATGGTAAAAAGAAACTGGATTGCATCAGGTTGAATAATAAGTAGTGACTATGTATCCTTATCTTCATACTTTAATAATTTCCAAAAATTGTACTTTAGCATAAAAGTAAATTATAGTGCCCTGGCCAGGTGCTCAGTTGGTTAGAGTATTGTCCTGATACACCAAGGTCATGAGTTCAATCCCTGGTCAGGGCATATACAAGCAGCAACCAATGAATGCATAAATGGGTGGAACAAGAAATCAATGTCTGTCTGTCTGTCTCTCGCTTTCTCTCTCTCTGACTCCCTCCCTCCCTCCATCTCTCTCCCTTCTTGTCTCTAAAATCAATTTTTTTAAAAAAGTACATTATAGCATAACATTTTTTTCAATACACTCTCAACAGGAATGGTAATGTGCAGCACATTTAGAATGTGCAAAAATGTGGAAACTCTGGCTCTTAAAGAGGCAAGCATCAGCTGTCTCTTTATGTCACTATAAGGAGCACCTCATTTCCCCAACAGCATTGTCAAAATATAGTTTTGTTTCAATGTTTGCTTATACTGTACTTAAAGCATGACCACAGAAGTAGAGAGGATAGTAAACCACTCCAGCCAGTGGGAAATAAATCCAGAATCTATAAATCAAATGATAAAAACTGAACACTCAAGAGATCCAAAGAAAACAATATTTTATATTTAATATGTATTTTTTTCAGAATTAAATGGCATTCCTACATAACTCTTAACCCTAGTGCTTTTTGATTCATTTACCAAAAACACAAAATAAACAGAGTTGCCTAGAAGTAGATGGGACACTGGTTATGTTAAACTGAACTCTAATTCAAACCACTGTCAAATACTTTTTGGCACCCCCTGACAAGATAGCAACAAAACCATTTCAAAGGTAATACGCCCTCTTACATGTCAACAAAGTGAAGCCATCAACATCGTGAAAATATTCCTGTGTTTGGTCCTACCTCCCTGGGGGAAGAGAAAACTAAAATTCAGCTGCTATAATTTCCCCTTTCAAAGGGTAATTTTGATGGGATTTGTCAAAACAATCTATTAGGCTTGACAACTAGACAATCAGACATAAATGCAGAAACCCAACATGCAGGGAAACAATCTGGTCATATTTACTTTCCTGTGGGCAAGTGGCTCCATTTCCCATTTATAGGTCAAACACTTGGACACCACCACCACCGCCACCAACCCACCAACCGCACCGCTGTTTCTCTATCCTAAGGTACTTCCCTTAATATTAACATCAAGCCTCTGGGTAACTGAGGATTTCCCTCCTCAACATGAGAGCCATGGCTTATAGTTTCTGCTTCATTTTTTTTTTCTTTCATGAACCTCTAATGCTTTTATGACAAGCATTACACTTTATGACAAAACACTTTATTTTGTTTAAACAGTTCATTCAGGTCACTCAGGGAGACCCCAGTTGGTGTCTTAGAATAGGGATCCCAGCAGACTATAAGGTCTGTAAGCACAAAGATGAGATTTGTGTTGGTTTTGGACTCTGCTGAATGTCCAGCACTTGAAACCATCCCTGGTACATGTGGACATCTGAACCTAATCATTCAAAGAATGAATCCGAATACATATCTGTCACACTCAGAAGTCTACGCTCTGTTCTCACATCCCAGTCTCCCAAACTAATTTGATAAGAATCATTTCATGTATTTGTCAAAAATATAAATTCCTAGAATTCCTCCTTAGGTGTTCTGCTTAAAGACCTAGAAATGTGTGTTTTTAACAAAGACCCTAAATAATTCATATAGATCTGTGGAGATGTTCCCCCTTCCAGCCTCCACACTCTCAACAACTCAATTTTTCCTCCGCCGAACACCGCCAACACGCGTGCATTGAGCACTGCTCTAAACGGGTTAATTCACGCAATGCTCGTAGCAACCTGCTGTGGTAGGTACAACTATCCCCATTTTTTCAAACAAGGAGACCGAGGCATAGAGAATTTAAGAAATGTGCACAAGTTTACAGAGCTAATAATTGAGAGATCAGAGAAGTGAACCCAGTCTTGCTCCAGAACCTGAACTTATAATCAATACATTACTTCTTCCATACCCACTTGTCCCGTTTGTCCCCAAAGTGCTGGCACCAAAAGTTCCCTTGGGGTACTCATTTCTACTCCTGGTAATGAAATTCACCTTGCAGTCTCTGTATACATGATCACAAATTTTAAAGTGGTTCATTATATAAATAAAGGAGGTGCCACCAAAAGGTACTCAATGGAATCTTTTTAATATAACCAAAAGAATTAGCCATTTATAAAGAATGTGATATTACCCACAGAACAATCCCAGTCATAAGAATGTGATGTAAAATAATAAATTTTTAAAACCAAGAAAAAACAGAAAAGTTAAGCAAATTAAGCTGTACCTCCTGAAAAATAGTTAAAATAAAAGTATACAGTATACTGGGTAGAATATATATTAGTCATTTACCACCATGCTGCCTAATAAGACTAAAAAATTACTTCCTTATTAGATACTGTTGAAGAGAATGAGTTTTCAATAAATCAACTTTCGTGTAAAAAATTCAATTGAAACCTAAATCTTCTATATTGCTACAACAAAAGAGTGTAGGCATATAATACAAGCCCAAGACAACCAGATTCCATTTCTAAACCTGTCCCATTCACCACAAATGGTAGGTGTAAGGAAAGGAGGAGAGTGACTTTCAGCACTCAAGTCCTACAGCTCCTTTTGAAAAGCTTTCTCTCCAGGTTCTCATGTGTCCTGCCCACAAAACCATTAGACAATGTTTCACTCAGTTTCTTCAAGCCGAGTGTTCTTTTCACTATTCATACTCCATGCATTAAGAAACACAGGGCCTTCTCCCTAATCTTAGAACAAATGTCTGTTGAATCACCCCTCGGGCAGAATAGAATCCTAGTGGAATCGCTTTCTGAAACGGCTGACAGGATTAAGAGCTAGGACGGGGATTTGGCATTGTGCTTACCCTGAAAACAGAGGGGAAAAGTAGAACAGTACGAGCTCACCTGTAGTTTTAACTCTGTTCTAGGCCTGATGAGTCCAAAAGTGCACCTTCACGAGCAGCCTCAGGGGCTTGGACACTGAAGCAAAGAGAAACAGTTTCTTAGTAAGTAAGTCCTTTGTTTACTGTTTTGGATACTACAAATAAGCATTGTCTCACTCTCTTCCTGTATCTATTATCTGTCTCTAAAAAATAAAAAGCTAAGCTGATGACATCATGGTAACAGCAATGGAATATAATAGCATAATAACTATTCTTGATAATCTCCAATTGATGATTTTCATCTTGAAGTCACCGGGCCATGCTAATAGCCCAAGGTTTCTTGCTTCCTTCCTCCCTCCCTCCCTCCCCTTCTTCCTTTCTTTTTCTTTATTTTTTATAAATACCTCCACCACTAAGCACTTGGAAATCTTGTCCACAAACCCTCCAACCACAAGCCTCAACTCTGTGTTTGGCTTCCTGCTCGATAGGGGATGTCCCCACCTACCTACTTCCTCCACTGCAATGATAAAAGGTTTAGTCCCAGTTCTCTCTCTCTCTCTCCCTCTCTGCTTCTCCTGAGTGACCCCGTGTGACCCTATGTGGCATATGGTGCCTTCCACCCTCTGGGGAACTTCTCTCAAAGGCAATTGTCTCTGTGTCTGACATCTTACTATACCAATTAAAATATATCTCAGGTTAAAATAAATACTCTCAGCATATTACTCAAATTTGTATTGGGTTGGCCAAAAAGTCCATTACATCTTTTCTGTACAGTGGCTCTAGTAGTGCTTAGTTGTCTTTAACTTCATTTGAAACGATTTTGTTAGATTGTATTATGACAACTGTCATATCAGCATTTATTTTTAAAAACTCATCAAAGTTGGTGAATTTTTGTGCAGCCATTTTAATATTGAAGATGGAAGAACATATACAACATTTTCAGCATATTATGCTTAATTATTTCGAGAAAGGTAAAAACACAACTGAAATGCAAAAAAAAAAAGACTTGTGCAGTATATTGAGAAGGTGCTGTGAGTGATCAAATCCGTCAAAAGGGATTTGCAAATTTTATTGGTGTTATTGACATTTTGGCCAAATAATTCTTTGCTGCGGGGCTGTCTGATGCATTGGAAGATGTTTAGCAGCACCCCAGCCAAAGCCAACAGTGGGAGATAGACGACATACTTGAAATATCCACATTAATCAAGTTATTGATGGAAATGAAAAATGTGTCTTTTATTTTACAGAAAAAAAAACTAAACACACTTTTTGGCCAACCTAATATTTTACAATACTCCACTTCTTTGCATCCTTCAAGTATTTAAAATCACTTGTTTTGCCACTGCTAAAAGATAAACTGAGGTACGTGACAATTTTGAAGTGTTTATTTGAGCAAACATCTACGGGAATCAGGCAGCACCAAACTGCAAACAGCTACAGGCAGCATTCAGCAAGCAGAAACTAAGGGAAAAAAGGCTTTACAGAGCATAGCAAGGAAAAATCATTGCTTGGCTATAGCTTAAGTGGTTGCCATATTTGAGAAAGCTTAGTGATTTGTGATTAGTTGTTCTTAAGTTTCGACCTCTTAACCTGAGGCATTTACTGGTACCATCTCTGGCTTGGGTGTGGTTTGCTTCTGTAGGCTGCAAGTATCCGAGCCACCTTTTTAAGTCACTTTAACAGCTCCAGTGCTCCCCTGTACATTTGTATTCTGGGCCACACTGGAGAGGGAACACTGGACAAGCAAAACCCCTGCCCTTGTGGAATTTATACTCTAGTTGCAAGTGGTAAGTAAAATAAAGAAGCTCATCTTTGATTTCATTTGGATCCCTCACTTCTCATACCAGTGTTGCATGTATACTAATGTTCAGTACTATTTGCTGAATGAGAGAATGATCCATTTCCCTTAAGTATCAGAAGCCATTTTCTCTGTCCTTTATTATTGAATAGTGGCTTATGGTTAAGAGACTGTCAGTAAGATTATCTCACTTCATGAAGACCAGGAAGCAAGGCACCATTGAATGATACAGTAATTCAAGCAGCTGAACTTTACTGAATGGTTGTACTCACCAATCACCAGTTTGTGAACCAGGAAGTGGGCCCTCACCAGACACTGAGTCTGCTGGTGCCTTGATCACGGACTTCACAGCCACCAGAACTGCAAGAAATAAGTTTCCATTGTTTACAAGCCACTGAGTTTATGGTATTTTTGTTTCAATAGCCCGAAAGGACTAAGACACCTTGTAAGTAGGAATTTTTGGTCCAGGCTCTTAAAAAGAATTTAGTTGCTATTCTAATGGGAAGTTGAACCAAGTCCTAGAAATTAGCTCTAAATCTTCAGTCTCTTGCAACTAAGTAATTGATTTATATTTTAAATATAGTATGTACCACCTTATAAGGAATGACAGGAGTTTGAACTTTTCCTAGTGTGTCACTTTCTTACCTACATAAGTAAGAAATGAGATTATCTATTGAGGTAAATGCTACTATTACCCAGTCAACATTCATCCATCTATTCTCTTTTTCTGTCCTTAACATTTCTTCCTTTTTAATATAACCCTATGCTGGGAAAATGTCCTAAGTGTGCTAAAACCAACCTCTATTGAGCTGACAGACTAAGAAAGACACCGACAGCTCTAAAATTAAAGCTCATTTGGAAAACTTACAGACAGAAGCAGAGACCCGCGCCGCAGCAAGAGAGTGAATTCTCGTGTCCCAAAGAGGATGCAGCTTTATAGAGCCTCCAGGAACACAGGTGACTTGTAGCCAAGTGCCATGTGCTCATTAAGCAGGTGGTTGGTAGCCAAGTAGCATGTGCTCATTAAGCAGGTGGCAGGTAGCCAGATGGCACCTGCCTGATAAACACTGTATATTCAAAGCAGCAAACAACATGAATTGGCCTACTTTTCTGGATAAGAAGATTCTTTTTAGGTCATATGGGCCCATGCCTCCCAGGGTGAACTGGTAATCACTGAGAACAGCTTGCTTCCTACGATGGCATCATTTGGGTCAAGCACTAGAAACCTATATCCCTAACACCCTTATTTGGTTCACCTCCCCCTGATTGTCACTGTCCTTCAGGACAGGGTGGCCTCTCCTCAGCTCTGGGATATAATGCTCAGTTGGCATATGTCCATTATGGAGGCCTCAACCCCACCACCACCCCTCACTCCCTGTTGGTGACAGGCATGGACAGTTGAAGCAGCTTAACCTAATAAGACAGGAGGGGAAAATCTGTTGGGCTAAGAGGTTTTCCTCTTAAAAAGGGGGAGAATATAAGGGTGCTCCCTTTTGCTGCAACTGGATATCACCTGAAATCTGAACTGAGACAGCTGTGTTAGGACCATAAGGGAAGCAAAAATGGGGAAGGATCTGGTTCCTGGACAATATCATCAAGTCATGGTAATTAACCAACACTGGGAATGGCCTTACCTTTATACATCTAGCTCTGCGGGATAATGAAAAAGCTTAAACAATAAGGACATTTGGTAAGGGTTTTACCTCCCACCGTTGAAAGCATTCCTTTTCCCTTTCAACAGTTCCACTCCTAAGTAGTAGGCTTCTCAATATAACAAAAGGTATAGTAGATTGGAAACAAAGAAAATTGCTAATTTTTTTTCCTATGTTCAAGTTGCTCCTCCTATTAAAGAGTGGAGTCTATTTCCCTTTCCCATGAATCTACTCCTTCTGCCAATAGAATTCAGAAAAATAATACAATGCCAGTTCCAGACCTAAGCCTTAAGAGAACTAGTATCTTCTTTCCCTTCCTCCTTCATTCTCTTGGGAGCCAACTACCATGCAAGAAAGCTTAGGCCAGGGGTGTCAAACTCATTTTCACCAGGGGCCACATCAGCCTTGAGGTTGCCTTCAAAGGGCCAAATGCAATTTTAGGACTGTATAAATGTAACCAACTCCTTAATAGTTAAGCGAGAGCTCGACACTGCCACCAGGTAGAAACAAGGTGCCAGGCTGTATAAAACAAGGTGGAGGGCCAGATATGGCCTGTAGGCCTTGTGTTTGCCACCTGTGGCTTAGGCTAAATTCCTGAATGATGTGATATATTATGGAGAAGAATCAGGTAACTCCAGATGAAAGGCAGCACCAAGAGCACAGCAATGGGAGTGAAGCCACACTAGCTGACACCTGATAAAGTGGGCACTAGTCATCTCTAGTAAGCCCTGCCTGCATGCCTGACCATAGAATCAGGTGCAACAGAACACCTGCTATTATTAGTAAGTCCAATTTGGTCACTGTGCAGCAATAGATAACTGAAACACAAGGTAATACTATTTCTTCTCTTGCTTTGTAAAATTGCTGTAGTTATTTTACAATGATTAAGGATGATTTAGTAAGTCACAAATAGCTCTGCATGCTAATAAATGTTTCCCCAAATATGTGTTTTAATTGTCTTCACAAAGGAGAATTTGTTTTTATTTATGTTATCTTATACTAACATTTAAAAAATAATTAAATAGAAATAAAAAGGGAAATGTTAGCAACAAATGAATCAAGATCCTTAGCAAGTAAAAAAACTCTGGGAGGTATTCTCTGGCTGATGTGGCTCAGTGGACTGAGCCCTGGCCTGTGACCCAAGGGGTCACTGGTTCAATTCCCACTAGGTACACATACCTGGGTTGTAGACCAGGTCCCCAGCACCTGTGTGTGAAAGACAACCACACATTGATGTTTCTTTCCCCACTCTAAAAATACACTTTTTAAAACCTTTTAAAAATTCTGGCACATATAAAAGAAAAGTAGCGACACCCCATTTTTAAAACTGGGAAGAGCCATTTCTTTGAACAACCATAAATGGTCAATAAACATGAGAGGGGAAATGCCCTACCCTCAAGCTAATTAGTTTAAAACAACAGGACATCATTTTTCACCTACTAAATGGCCAAAAGAAAATTTAAATACTAAGACTTCGTGCCAGCTAGAATCTATTGAAAAATGGGGAAATCTCACGTTAAGGTGCAGAATCTGGGAAACCACAGTGACCTTGAACTGCTGGGACTCCAGCCTCTCTGGTCACAAGCTGCTTGACTTCAGACAGCATCTGTGGCTGTGACATGGGGATAATATAGCTACTGCACAGAGCTGTTGAACAGAACAGCAATATACATGGGTGTTACTTTTCATTCAGCCTGTTTACCCACGTGTTTACTTTTGTCAGAGATACTGGAAAAGCATTAGAAATACAGGAAAATATGAATACTTTTCTAAAACATGGGCGGAGAATAAATCGGGAGTGACGGGAAACCGAGTCATCGAGGAGGTAGATGGGCAGGAGGAGGCAGCATTGGCAGGAGGTACTTCTCTCAAGGACCCCTAACTCTCGGCGCAACCACCCCGGGGTTTGGTGCCCCGCGGGGCCTGCGGCCACAGAGGGAAGGCGGTGGGAAAAGTAGGATTCATGGCGCTGATTGGCTGCCTGTGAGCACGGGGCGGGGCAAACGGAGGTTGCTGGAATTGCAAGCGGAAAGCTGCGGGGGTGAGCTTCCGGTCTTTGTGGCTGGCCGCTCTGGGTTGGCGGCCTGCTCCCTGGTCACCCGTGGGCTTTGCGGTGAGGGATGCGGGCCCCGAGGCAAAGGGAGGGCTAGGAGGGCGAGCAACCCGGACGGCGGGCGCGAGGTGGAAGAGCCCCGCTTTCGTCCTGCCCATCCCCAGGTCGCGGAGCCTTGTTGGGGCGGTGTCTGCTCGGGTCTTGGGGATGCAAATGAGGCCAGCGCTCAAGCACCCGCTTTCCAGCAGAAAGAGCACTTACTCACCCGCCGCCCTGATTTTGCAAATGCTGTGATTTAACCTGGATACAAAAGTAGGAAAGCTAGCGCGGCCGAGCTGTTAGTAAACTATAGTTTTGTAGCGTCAGTATACTAATTTCTAAAGTTGACGGTAGTGTTAGGGTTAAATTTTACTGTCCTGCCAGTTCAAGGGCATACCCTCCCATCACTATTCCTCCATCCTAAAATCATATCGTGTTTAATTTATGTCAGAAAACTTAATACATACTTGTTGCCAATTTCACTTTTTAAAAATGTTTACTCCATTATATTATAAGCTTTTTGAGAGCTGAGATTGACCTTTTCGCTTCTGTGTATATATCTGGTATGGTTTTGAACACATGGTAAGCATTTAATAAGTACTTCTTGGTTATTCCTGGATAGACTCATTTATTCAGGAGCAAAAACCTTTGTATCCTGATACCTGGCTCATGACAGCCCATAGTAAGGTCCTTAGTGTTCACTGAAGAAATTCAGTGACTGAATTTCCTAATTGATCAAATGGCAACTATCCAATAATGTTTTCATTTTAATCAACTAATGTTTAATATGCATTTTTAAAAACATTTTATTACTACCTTAAATGAGTCAACATTATTTTGCCATAGTTACATTACTGAAAATTTTTTAAAAATCAGCATTATTAAGTCCTACCTAGATACTATTACTCTTGGAAGTCTGAAATGTTAAAGAGGGAGTTCTGCATGTTTTACATACATGTTAAAGACAGATTTTTCCCCTCAATGAAAATTGAAAGAGAATAAAAAAGGAAATTTCTCAGTATGTTATTCATGTTAATATTGCATTGTTTTGCTTCTAAAATGATTTCTTAATAGAATTAGTGGTAGAAATTCTACAAAATAGGAGACAGTGAATGACATGAATGATGTTTAGTTTGCCACTTATTTATTTGCAATCTCATACCTGCTTCCTTTCAATATGCTACTGGGATGGCTGATGTTTCTTATTATAAATTCTTAGAGATTTTTTTCAATGCTTTAAGTTAACAGTGCTTTTGTATCCTTCAGGAAAGAAGAGATTACGCCAAGACTTTCTGGGAAGTAGCATACCCAGTTGTAGTGAGCTCTTTTGAACAGCTCTTTCAGGCCAGAATGGCTGTGGAATCCAGAGCAATTTCAACCCTGGTTCCTCAGAGTCCTCAGGAACAAGAACTGATACTAGTGAAAGTAGAAGAAAGCCTTTCCTGGGGTCAGAAATTAAAGCAGAATGGGAATACCCGATCCTGCCAAGAATTGTTTCGCCAGCAATTCAGAAAGTTTTGCTACCAGGAGACACCTGGGCCCCGGGAGGCTCTGGGCCGACTCCAGGAGCTCTGCTATCAGTGGCTCATGCCAGAGTTGCACACGAAGGAGCAGATCCTGGAACTGCTGGTGCTGGAGCAGTTCCTGAGCATCCTGCCTGAGGAGCTGCAGGTCTGGGTTCAGCAACATGGTCCAAAAAGCGGCGAGGAAGCTGTGACTCTGTTGGAGGATTTGGAGAGGGAATTTGATGATCCAGGACAGCAGGTGGGAACAGGGAGATGCAATATGTTGTGGGAAAAGGAATTTACAAACTGGGGCATGTGGCATCATCATAACAGTAGGATGAAAATTTATCTCTACTGAACCGTAACCCTGACGTATCTACTGGGGCTATGCCCATCTCCACCCTTAAATCATTCTTTTTCCCCTATCCCTCACCTATGGAGATGTCTTTCTTGACTTCTGGAGTTTTTTACTAAGCATTTTCCCAGGGATTTTCTCATAGTGCTAACTGTATTTTATTGATTTCAGGTCCCAGCTAGTCCACAAGCACCAGCAGTACCGTGGAAGGATTTAACAGGTCTTGGAGCATCCCAAGAGTTAAACATCCAAATCCAGCCTTTAAAGACACAGCTGAAACCTTGGGACCCTTGCATTTCTCCCCAAAGTGGTAAGAAATAGATAATCACCTGAGAACCATTATCAGTTAGGCCTCTGGCCTTGATGATGTAGAATTAATGGCACTTTACAAACCTGTCACATGTAAGCTTCACCTCTATTATTCTAGGCCGGGGGTGCTCATTTTAGCAGCTTTGTATTCAGCAACACTTACGAATTGCAATCAGGCCTCCTTGTGTCAGTTTCCCTGTCATTTATTTATTTATCCCTTCATTATATATCCTAACTGGGTCCTAATGCATGCCTGGTATGATGACAGGCACTGGGTCTCTGTGTTCAAGAACTTTCAGGTCTGGATGGGTTAGTGGACAAGCAAAAAGGCAATTTCAGTGTAGTGTAGTATAGACTAACAGGAGGCACTGGGTACTCGGGGGCACATGGAAAGGCACCTGACCCAACCGCAGAGGTTCAAGGTATAACTTCTTGAAGGAAAAGAGATCTAAGCTAAGACGTGAACTATAAGGAGGAAAAAGCAAGGTAAATAGGTGGGAAGAAGAGTATCCCAAGCTAAAGGGAAAACCATTTCTCAACACTTCTGACACCGGATGTATGAGGTTTTCCCTCACACTAAGCAGTCCTGACAATAACTCCCCAGAATCAGTGCAGACCCGCAGGTTAAGGTTTTAGTCCCATAAGACTGGCCCCCTACCTTGGATGCCAACTGCATGTAGTGAGTCCCAGGCTACCCACAGTTCTGATTTCCGGTAAATTGGCAGTTCCATGAACCTCTCCTCATGTTTCATAAATTGCTGTAGTGGCTCACAGAACTCAGGGAAACACCTTACTTATGATTACTGGTTTATTACAAAGGATACAAATGAATCAGCATATATAGAGTGAAGTCCTGAAGGGTCCTGAGGGCTGGAGCTTCTGTAACCGTGAAGTTTGGGGTACTCTCCTCCTGGCACTTGGATGCATTCACCATCCTGGAAGATCTCGAAACCCCTTTGTTTAAGGTTTTTATGGAGGTTTCATTACATGGGCACAGTTGACTAAGTCATTGGCCATTGGTGATTAGCTAACCCAACCTCCAGCCCTTCTCCCAGAAGGTCAGAGGTGAGGCTGAGAGTTCTAACTCTTATCACTTGGTTGGTGCCTGTAGCATAAACCCAGATATGGTTGGTAGGGGCTTATTACGAATAACAGAAGATACTTGCTCACTTAGGAAATTTCAAGGGTTTTGAAAACTTCCAGGAACTGGGGATGAAGAGCAAATATATATATGTCCTGTACTACAATATCACATAAACAAAGGCCACAAATTCCTGAAGGTGAGAGACTATAGTCCACTCTGGGAACTGCAGATAATTTAATTTAACTTGAATAGAAATTCATAGGGGTGAGGTGGTAAGAGAAACTGGAAAGAAAAATGGGACCCAGATTGTGAAAACTTGTATGTCGTTCTGACTAGTTTGTGCAGTGCAGTGGGGGACAGTTGAAGAGTGTTGTGCAAGGGAATGGCATGATGGGGTATGCATTTAAAAATTTAGTTGCAGGTGGAGAGTGCATTTGAAGGCAAGGATAGAGCCCTGTTAGGGACTGTTGTAATCCAAGCGGCCACAGTGAGTAAGTCAAGATGTATTACGATGAGAGGTGGGGAAGACCAAAGCTGGCTTCTGCTTCTCAGTACTGAAATTGCATTGCAGTAGCCGGTTGTTATCAAAAGTGCAGCATGTGGAGAGCAGTTGTGGATGATACTCAGGTTACAGTCTTAAACAGCTTGGTTAATAGTGGTGCTATTCATATAAATAAAAAACGTCACAGGGGAAAAAACATGTTGATGATGTGTTTAGTTCAGGACATTTTGGTGTTTGTGAAATAGTCACAAGTATTATGCCCAATTAGCATTGGATATGAGAGTCTAGAGCTTACGAGAAAAAACTGGAATAGAACTGGGGATCCAATTAGCTTATAACATAAGTACATTAGTCACTGAAGTCTAGGAGGTAGACAGTTTGTAGAGTGAGGATACTTGAGAGCCCAGAACAAAATTTGAAAGAACTCATGTTTGAATGATCGGCCTTGAATCTAAGAAGGAACAGCCATAGAAATTAGGCTAACAGCAGTTTCTAGAAGGCTGGTGTTGTCCACAGTGTCAGTGTTACAGAGAAGCCAACTAAGTGAGACCTATAAAGTATCCAGTAAATTAAGCAGCCATGAAGTTGCTGCTGATCCTGATGAGAGTGGATGGGGCGGTGGGGGAGGGGGGTTGACATGGGTGAGGCAGAAACCAGACTACAGAATGGAGTACAGATGACCCTTTCAATAAGCTTTGCTCTAAATGGGAATGAGGTTTCATGAGGGAGATGTATAGGCAAGGAGCTTAATTTTAAAAGATGAGCGAGACTTCAGCTTACTTAAATGCTGGTAACAGGAAGGAGACAGTAGAGAAAGAGATTGAAAATATTGGGAAAGGAAAGGAGGTAACTGATGCTTTGAAGTCTCAGCCATGAAAGGATAACCTGCAAAGTGTAGGTGTAGGCCCTAGTATTGGAGAGGAGAAAGGGTCCTATTATATGACCAGCTAAAGAAAACCTGTATGCAGACAGTGACATCTTTTAGGGGCAGAAGCATCTGTTTTCTCTCCCACAGAAAGTGAGTACTGAGAGTGACTGGAGAAATTAAAAATCTCTTTTTTGCTATTATCATTTCAGATTGTGAAAATAATGAATCGACAACAAAGAAGGACATTTTGGGCAAAAAATCAGGACTTTGCCAGGAACTTTCATTTGGAGGATTTAGCGAACACGAAAGCAGTCTAGAGTGGCAGCAGAGAACTGCTTCGGGGGAGAAATTAGGAAGATCCCCTGTCCAAGGAGGCAGTTTTAGTCAAGTAATCTTCACACACAAATCTCTAGGAAAGATAGGCCATCATGAGCCTCAAAGAAGCTTGATTCTAAGTGCAAACTCTGTAACATATCAGAAAGTTCCCATGGAAGAGAGGCCTTACAGATGTGATGTATGTGGGCACAGCTTTAAACAGCATTCCTCTCTAACACAACATCAGAGAATCCATACTGGAGAAAAGCCCTATAAATGTAACCAGTGTGGAAAGGCCTTTAGTTTGAGGTCGTATCTTATTATTCATCAGAGAATACACAGTGGTGAGAAGGCATATGAATGCAGTGAATGTGGGAAAGCCTTCAATCAGAGCTCAGCTCTCATTAGGCACCGGAAAATCCACACTGGTGAGAAAGCTTGTAAGTGTAATGAGTGTGGCAAAGCATTCAGTCAAAGTTCGTATCTCATTATCCATCAAAGAATTCATACTGGTGAGAAACCCTATGAGTGTAATGAGTGTGGGAAAACCTTTAGCCAAAGCTCAAAGCTTATAAGACACCAGCGAATTCATACAGGAGAGAGACCTTATGAATGTAACGAGTGTGGAAAAGCTTTCAGGCAGAGCTCAGAGCTGATAACCCACCAGAGAATACATAGCGGAGAGAAGCCCTATGAGTGTAATGAGTGTGGAAAAGCATTCAGTTTGAGCTCAAACCTCATCAGACATCAGAGAATTCATAGTGGAGAGGAACCTTATCAGTGTAGTGAATGTGGCAAAACATTCAAAAGGAGCTCAGCCCTTGTTCAGCATCAGAGAATTCACTCAGGGGATGAAGCTTATATATGTAACGAATGTGGGAAGGCTTTCCGCCACAGGTCGGTCCTTATGCGCCATCAGAGGGTCCACACTGTAAAGTAACTTGTGAGTACAATGACGATTGTAAATACTTCAGTCAGATTTGTATCTCCGTTAGGCAAAAGGGTTTTCTTTGAGCCAGACCCCATGCAGCTTGTAAACTACCAGGTCTCGAGTCAGTCCAACTCCATGCGGCACTTCCAGTGCACAGGCACATTGTCCCTTGAAAGCTTTTCCTGTGACTAGTCAGAAGAGCAGATGGAAGAATCGTTGCTTCCAGCTTTCCTCTTACCATTGGGACTACTCAGGAAATAGGAAAGATGGGACTATTACATTGAAACCTCATTTTCCATGAGAATGTCACGAAGAGGGTAGAGCAACCCAGGCTCTGTCACTGCGTCCTACTGCTGGTGGGATGGTGTGGACGGGGTGAGGGACATTTTGTCTCATGGATGCAAAAATTGTACTGATCAGTTAACAGTAACGGGACAGCAAGACTGGTGGGGAGGTAGTTTCACCAATGAATTAAGGAGCGCAGGGCAGGCCAGAAATGAGGTAGAAGAATACAAATTAATTTATCCAGCAGGTATTTTTGAGTACCTGTTTTCTGCCAGGAACTAGGTATAGTAGAAAATGGAGACAGTCTCTACAGTTCAATGGACAGGGCAAACAGGTGATGACATTGGTTTGATCAGTGCTACGTGACATTAAGGAGTACCTGACCCAACTTTGGGTCAAGGAAGGCTTCTGGGATAAATGATTTGAAGGATGAATGGGAGGTAGGCAGGCTAGGGAACAACAGACAAAGGTCAGAAAGAAAATCTGGTACATGGGAGAAGTTAACAGTAAAAGGCCACTTCCTGTGGTATTCCTTTTGAAGTGGAGGCAGGTCTGTAAGAGAAGTATGGATGGAGCCAGAATCTCTCAAGCCGTGCTTGTGAAGTCTCTTAATAGACAAAACCTGGAGTCCTTCGACCACCGGGTGGTGGAGAGTTTTGTGTTCGTCTGGGGTGACCCAGAGAAAGGGTTATTGTAGAGCTTTCTTGCCCTACCTGTAGGCTAGGCTAGACCTTTCATGCAGGTGGGGTTAGGGAGTCAGACGGAGCCTGCCATAGAGGGTAAGAGTCTTCAGAGTTCTAAATGCCCCTCTCCTAGACATAAGGATGTCTTTGGTTCGTAAGACTGTAACAGAGCTACTGCCAGCTTCCTCCCAGTTTTCAAGGCTCTGGTCAAAGCTGCTGTTGGCATGGGTACCATATCATTTGTTTCTGGAGCTGTAGCCCCACCGTTCTAGTGCACTCCCTTGGGCTCAGGTGCTAAAAAATATTTTGTCAGTTGCTGGGTCTGTAACTTACTCTCCAAGCACCTCATGCGTGTTCAGTTTTGTTTTATATTAGCAGTGTTCACAGTCTTTCGTGAATTTTGTTAAAGACAATGCTACAGGGAAGTAACAACAGAAAGACACAGTCATGGTCCATCCAGAGACTACCCTGCTCTGAAGGACCCAGTGGGAAAAGTATCCTGAGACTGGTACTTCTCAGTGCAATGTGGAAAGGTGTATAGGCTAGTCAGCAACAGAAAAACATGTTATTCAAAATACCTAACAGATTGGAGCTATAGCACACCTTACCAAAAATAAATCTGTGGGAATCCAGAATCCTGTGCGTAGGAAAAGAGCTATCCGTGAGGATGGAGAGAAAAGTGGTGGTCCAGCTGGGGCATACACAGAGAAGCATGCACTCACCAGAAGGAAAGGCAGCAGGCTATGTGCCCATGCTTAGAGAGAGTGTGGAAAAAGACAGGGATAGCATCATTTGGAAAAGATGGTAAAATATAACAAAATAGTAAGAGTTATTCAATTCTCGTTTTCTTCCACAGAGAAAGATGCAAATGAAAAAGGACAAACTAGGAATGATACAACATATTACAAAAGGGAGATAATCCTCTGCAGACAGTTATTACACATACTGATAGGAAATGTGACAGGTACTTAATCAGGGCTTTGTTGACATGTACTGGTTATTTCTCAGACAGCCCATAGTTCACAGAGAAGGAAATGGAGGCTTAGGACTATGGTTGACCCAGTAACATAGAGCTAAAAAGTGGTGAGGATAGACTTTGAGCCCAGGCAGTAGGAATCCAGAACTCTTCTGTGGAGCCATTTCTCTGTACTGTCTTCCCATGAAGAGGTTACAGCAGAAAAATATGTTTCTTAAATAGGCAAATCACAAAAGAATAAATGCCAATGGACACTAAGTGTTCAGCCTTGCTAGAATCAAAAATGAACTATGTTAAAGCAAGAGTTGAGATGGCAATTTTTTTGTCCCTAATAAAACTAACAAAAATTCAAGGAAATTGGGACTCTAATGTTGCAAGTGTGATGCAAGGAGATGCTGTCTTAGGCAATCCACACCAGAAGCCTTAAGCATTGCCTTTTGACTTTAAAGTTCTACCTGTAAATTTATGCCTCAAAAACCATCATGAATGTATACAAAGTCTTAAAAGATGTTAAAAGTGATGCTGATTAATATTAAATGACAAAGCACTCATATCTTAAGTAAAAATAAAAGTCCATTATGTACACTATGGTTCCATGTAGAAAATGTATTCATTAAAAATACTGGAAGTACTATACACTTAAAGTGCTGCACTGGTGATCTTCGAGTGGTAAGATTATAGGTGATTTAATTTTTTTCTTGTGCTTTCTGTGTCTTCCAAATTTTTTCAATAAATATTGAAAACTAAAATTAGAGGAAAAAGGTATAGAAGAGAGTGGAAGCCCAGGATAGTTGAGAAAAGCACATGGTTTCCATAGCATCTCCATCCCTTCCAAGTCGGAGAGATTAGCTTACTTGTTAACTCTGATGTGTGACTCCTCATTGGTGAATGGCAATGGCAGACATAGCCACCTCACACTCATGTATATTCAATGTCTTCTGCAAATTACAAACCTCTGCAAATTGGAGCTGTTTGCATGAAGGAGATTTATAGTTGAGAAAGGGAATAAGCCTTGAAGTGGAGACCTTTGTTCTTGCTAGTTCTTGTCCATTAATTCTGCAGCTATAAGCATGTCACCTCACAATTCTGAACCCTCAGTTTAAAGGAGCTGAAGTAAGTGATCTCTTATGTTAAAGCTTCAGCATTTTGCCCTGGCTGGTGTGGCTCAGTGGATTGAGCGCTAGACTGTGAACCAAGGGGTCACTGGTTCAGTTCCCAGCCAGGGCACATGCCTGAGTTACAGGCCAGGTCCCCAGCCTGGGGCATGCAAGAGGCAACCACACACTGATGTTTCTTTCCCTCTTTCTCCTTCCCTTCCCCTCTCTGTAAAAATAAAAAAATAAAAATAAAAAAAGCTTCAACATTCTGCATATGAAACAGAAGGGACATCAGTGTAAGGTAGACGTCAAAGGTAATTGTTTTTTCCTTCACCAGCTTTGTTGGAGAAAAGGTGTCAAGGATTCATGCCTTTCCCTTCTGCTTGGGGCCTTGTTTGGCATACAGGCAGGCCAGGAAGTGGGTGGGGGGGGGACACTGGCAGCTGTCTTGGTTGACACAATGATCACACATCTAAAGGGCCACAGGTCTTTTTTTCCTGCACGAGGATTTCCACTGAGGACTTGCTGAGAGAGGAGGGTAAGGCCATGGCAGCCGCCCAGGCTCTTGCTCCCAAATGTTTACCTTAAATGAATCTTGCACAACAGATTCACAGGTTTAAAAAGATAATGTGCAGTTTAGACAAGGTGCTTGCTATGAGTTTCCTATCTCTTCCCTTCTCCGTCCTCATGTCCAGAGGCTTCAGGTAACACTCTCCAGCTGAGAGGACTGGAAATTAAGCAAATCTGACCTTGGTCTCTCCAAGATCCCCTGTGAACATCTTTGCTTCCCTGCTCCATCAAGTGAATCCTCAGACAAAGGGGGACTGCCAGGTACATTAATTTCCCATGTAGGAGGACTAATCTGGAGAGCATTTCTGCAAAGTCAAGAGGAAAGGTGAGCCCCGTGGGCAGGCTCTGTCTATAGCCACCCACCCCCTGCTTTTGATGGGCCTGAACCAGATATTGCTACTCAAACTCTGTCGCTGGCAGCTGTCTTGGTTGACACAATGATCATGCATCTAAAGGGCCATGGGTCTTTTTGTCCTGCACAAGCATTTCCACTGAGGACTTGCTGAGAGGAGGGGAAGGCCATGGCAGTCGCCCAGGCTCTTGCTCCCAGAGGTGAAGAAGCGTCCTGATTCTGGTGGGCCCAGAGGTGTGTGTGTGTGTGTGTGTGTGTGTGTGTGTGTGTGTGTTCAAGAGGCTACTTGTGACTTCAGCTGCTGAACTGGTGCCCCAGGGACTGTCAATCTGCAGACACTTTTTGGCCCAGGGAATGAAAGCTAAGAACACCAATCCCCTGGCTTCTTCCCACACTCCTTCCCGAGTCTCCCAGCACACCTCCATTCGTGCTATTGTGCTCCCTACTCCTGAACGAATAATTTCAAATCAAAACTTAAAAGTCAAACTTTATTACAATATACGTTGCATTACATTGTAATGCTAAACAGTTGAACTATAAATGTTAAAATCAGTTACTAAAATTGATTTACCAAACAAGATTTTACCAAAAAATATTAGGTTAGGATAAAAAAGAAAAAAACTAATAGAATTCCAAATGATAACAATGTTCCTGTGGGTAGTGAGTGGGATTGTGGGTGATTTATACTTTCTCATTTTCTGTATTATCAACATTTACAATTAATTCACAATAAGAAAACAAGTATTAAATGATATTAAGAACATGAAATCATGTGATTGTCATTATAAGAAAAGGCAACCCTCTATCCATATGAAGCCTTCAGACTTCTGCTTGCCCTCACTCAGTAATAATCCCACAACCTTTGGACACAAGCCTCCCCGCCAAGTTCACCACTCCTCTTACCACAGCAGCTTTGGTCACCAAGCCTTCAGAAGCAACAGTGTCTGGAAGGGAAATCAGAACATCTTAGCAGAGGAATCAGACTTTCTCAGGTGTTAATTGCACCCTCTTGCAGATTTGTTCCCTCCTTGGGTGCTCTGCCTCGGCCCTAGAGACTCCCTATATGTATTACTCCTGTATTCTCTAGAGTTTTTTTATCCCTTAGTGATTAATCCCTAATGATAGTTAATAATTCCTAATATGATACTTTGCCTGTTCAAGATGTGGTTTCTGTTACTGATACATTATTCATCTCCATGCCAGTGGGGCAAGAACAGTAAAAGAATGTTGGTCTTTAAATATTATGGATGTTATTAGAGAATTTTATTAGAGACCTTAATTCTTAAACCAAAGTTAGAAATTACACTGGAATTTCAGATTCTTGGCAGAAACAATGGAAGAATATTTTTAGTCAAGGGGGACTTTCCACAATACTTAATGATCATGGCAAGTGACTGTCATTAAGAAAACGAACCATGTCACAGACGAGAGCCCTCACCTCCATCCTCACCTCCGAATGGCCTGTGGCTCCTCACCTCTCTCATGGGAAGCCTGGGGCTCCTGAGTCTCACTCTTGCACTGACACTGATTCTCCAAGGGCTGGAGCTGGATACTCAGAGACTTCAGTGCTCCTGAGGATGCCATTTCCTTCTCCATCATTCCTTGGCTATGAGCTGTGTCCTAGGAATAATCAAGTACCAGCACTATGATTCAAAGGATGTATAAGAGAAAAACCCCTAGAAGAACAGGGCAGGTCAGCTGGAGTCAGAAACTCATTCAAATGATGAGACAGAAAACAATAGGACTAAAAGCCCTAGTGGCCTGATCCCAGGAGACAAATAATAATCCAAAAGACAAAAGTTATACAATTCTCCAATAACCAAGTCAAGGCCATTCACACTGGCTTCCCCATTAACTTGCAACAACTAAAACAAGCAAACAAAAACCAACTTCTTACCTGCTCTGCTGGCCCATCAAGCTCTTTCTCCAGCTCCTCCAGCATAGTCGTGGCTTCCTCTCCGTTCTCCGGTCGGTGCTCTCGCAGCCAGGCCTGCAGGTCCTCTGGCAGGATGGCCAGGAACTGCTCCAGCACCAGCAGCTCCAGGATCTGCTTCTTGGTGTACACCTCCGGCCTCAGCCACAGACAGCACAGCTCCCGGAGCCTGTTCAGAGCCTCCTGGGCCCAGGGGAGTGAGAGTAACCAAACTGCCTGACCACTGGCAGCAGGTTTTCCTGAAGGCTAAAGACCTGCCCCAAACATAATTCTCTTCTGCAACCTTCACAGTTTTAAGTCCTCATACTCTTGGAGCACGGTAGGCCAAAGCTGCAGTGTGCCCTGACACTCTGGGCAGAGACACCTGGAAAGGGTTTGCAGTTGACCTAGGGAGGGGATGGAGATCTGTGTCTGAGAGATTCCTTCCGAATTCCAGTTCCTCAGGGAGCTCCTGAGGGGAGCGATGCTAATGTTACACAGGGGGAAAATGTGCTTAGAATATAAATACAGGTTTTGAAGACTGGTTGCCAGGGAGTGTGGTGCTGTAAAGAAAACTGACTGAAAGGAAGCCTCTGTATAAACAATACACTTACAGATGATGCAGGATTTTTTTCAGGATCAAAACCAGTTCAATCTTTAGTAAATAGTGTTAGGGACAACCATAGGGGATAATAAGTAGTACTTACAGATCATAGAAAGCAGGAAAAATACTGTAGTATATTATTACTTCTCAGAATAATTATCGCCATTTTATTAAGCATTTACTGGACAACAAGCACTAGCTGCATACCTAACATAAATCTTACATAATTTCCCTAACAATTCAATAAGGAAAATTATAATTATGCCCATTTTCCTAAAAAGGCTACTGAGAATCATGGGCTGGCCAAAGACACCCAACCAACAAGCAGCAGAACCGGGCTCTGCAACCAGAACATTCAGCTCTTGCTGTCCCGCCACAGTGTCGCTCTGAAGAAGGGAATCTGCACTTAATAAACACCTCCTATCTTCCAGGCACTTTACAAATGCTATTTTATTCGGGCTAGACAATAATACTATACAGCAGATAGTATCATCTCCATTTTACAGGTGAGGAAACTGAGTTTAGTATCTTATTAAGTAATCTGCCAAAGGCCTCAATCTCGTAAACAACGAAGTCAAGTCATGAACTTGAGGTTGCCCAACTCTGAAGCACTTGCTGTTATTATTACAGAATAGGTTAATGCTGTCATGGAGAAAAGCCAGGGGGGATGTACAAAAAAGGAAGAAATATTCTTGACTTTAAGTCAAGGTTCTGAGACAGCACAAAGAAGAGAGGAATGGATTCCTTCATCCGTTATTCCAACAAATACTTGAGCTATGTGCTAGGCAGTGTCCTGACAGGACTCACAGGATTAAAAGGCCTGTCCTCGCCCTGGCAAGGTGGTTCGGTTGATTAGCGCGTCATCCCATGCACCAAAAGGTTGCAGGTTCAATCCCTGGTCAGGGCATACAACTAGGTTCAAGTTCAGCCCTCAGTCAGGACACATATGGGAGGCAACCAATAATGTTTCTCACATTGATGTCTGTCTCTCTCTTTCTCTCTCCCTCTCTCTTTCCTATTGCTCTAAAATCAATACATATATCCTCAGGTGAGGATAAATAAATAGCTTGTCCCCAAAGACTCCTAGTTTATTTCGTGTGGGAAGTAAACAGACAGACAGGTAAACAGGTAAACAGACAAACAGTGTGATAAATCAAGGATAGAGGAAAGCAAAAAGATAGCACAGAGAAAGACAACTAAGACCTAGGAGAGCTGCCTACCTGGGGAAGACACCTCAGCAGAGTCTGATACAAGTGAGCAGGTGAAGACATAGAAGATCATTCGGGCAGAGAAGAGCAGGTGAGAGGATGTGACTGATGAAGACACTACAGATGGTTTCAGGAGGCCAGACTAGTGGTCGTCACCCCTGGCGATGGCTCAGAATCAGGCATGGAGCATGAACCCCACAACAGATTCAGTGAGTCAGGCTCTCCATGGGTGGAGCTTCAGCAACTGCCACACGTGCTTCTGTTTGAACAGCCAGGTTTAAAGAAAAAACAATAACCCTGGGCCACAGCTGGGGACAGACTTGAGGAATGGTGAGAGGACAAACCTACAGAGGAAGAGCCAGGCCACCAGGGCTCTGAGACATTGTAGTGCAGTTTGCACTTGATCCCCAAAGCTGGAGGGTCTGTCTACCTACCCGGAGAATGGTATGGCGCACAGACAGGGAAGGGTTCTGTAGCAAGCTTTTGGGCAATGAGGGTTGGAGCTAAGTGAGCCAAAAGATATTAAAATGGGAGATTTGACAAGACTTAGAGACACACGGAGTGAAGATTTGGAAGAGAGGGGAACCAAGGACTCAAGTTTCTGGCTGGCTCTGGTGGCTGAAAAGATGGTGGTATTTACTGAGCATATGAAGAAGAGTTTTGAGATGCCGACTAAACAGCATTTCCTTAACTGTGCTTTGCTAGATTTAAGAGATGCTCCATACACACCTAAACATAGAGAAACTTGAGGCAATTTTCTTCTTACATTTTTTAAGTATAAGAAAAATGCTAAATACATTTCTTTAGTTATTATGTGACAACTGACATTTAAGAAGTCCCATGACAAGGCATCACTAGATCCGTGCATCGATGTGTATGTGGCATTTACCAGTTTGCACCACATTGATGTGTACCTTTTACTTAGCAATCACTGCCCTATGTTGTGTATCTTCCCTTTTAATTTCAATAGGTTTGTGATATTATTCAATTCGTATTATAAATATTATGCCTCATCAACTTGTCCTCCATAGTGTGTGTGGCTGAAAGGAAGCTTTCAACATAAAGCATTGTCTGTTCCTTCTCTTTCACTTGTCCACCTTCCTGCACATCAGAGTTCCCTAGGTTAGTCCTAAATCCACCAGGCTTATCAGGGGGCGTAAGTGGACAGCTTTGGACCGAAGTCTTGCATTTCAGTGTTAAATTGTTTATGGAGCTGTAGAGGGAACCCAGCTGCCTAACACTCAGGGGCCAGAAGGCACTGAGCTTGCAGACAGCCTTCCCGGTTCCAGCCAGCAACCCAGAGGGTACCTCCCCTGCACTTTTGAACAATGCTGCTTGCTGCCACACAGTTGTCATTAAAAAAATGTATCTGCATTGTTTGCTTATTTAATTGTAACAAAAAACCACTAATCGAGCCTTTATTATAGACTCAAGCACTGTCTACCTGCTTTAAGCATCTTCATTTCATCCTCACAGTTCTCTATTGTCTATATCCAGTGTTTTACCCAAGAGAAACAGAGAAGTTATGCAATTTGCACTGGGTCATGTGGCTTGTAAGTGATGTAGTCTGGGCTATTTTGAAACCAAAAGGTGTGATTCCAGAGTCCATACTTTTAGATGTGTGCTCTCAACTGCCTTTTCTTGTCTGCCTTCCCCACCAAACCAAGGGTCGTTTCAAAGAGGGCCTGTTTTTCACACATTTAACAATACTTATTGAGTGCCTAGTTTGTGCAGGCACTATGCTAGACGCTGAGTGGAGCTGTAAATGATACCGTGGCCTTGCATTACAGACTTAAAATAGTAAGGAAAGCGGGTCGTTAAAAAGGAGATATTAATTGCCTAATTTAATAGTGATTAGAACTACAAAGCGGAAAGTACTCAGTGATAAATCATTTAAGCTACATTGGTAAGTCAAGACGAAGGGCTGAGACCCGACTCAGGAGCGAGCTTCGGCTGCGTGAGAAGACTCCGTCAGTGCACCTCCGATTCCTTCGCCTGTGGCTTAGCACACAAAAAGCGCCGGCAAGTGCTTAAAGCGTCAGTGGGCGCTAGGGCGGATGAGTGGGTGGGCAAGCGGACAAATGCAAGAAAGGCTGGACCGGCGGACATACGGGCCGGCGGGTAGTAGCTTCGAAGAGAAGGCTACCTGGTGCAGCTGCAGGGTCTTGCCCGTGACAGTGGTGGGCCGAGGTGTCACAGGTGTGCACAGGTAACCAGGTTCTTAGTGATCGAGAACAAAGAATTGAACCGAACACACAAAGTTTATAGCATAAAGAAAGAGGGGAGGTTTATTAAGTGATAGTACATACCACAGGACACGGGAGTGAGCCAGCTCTGAGCAGAGGAAAAAAAAGGGCACGTGGGCTGGGGGATTCTATTCTTATAGGGGGCAGAAGCCCCCTGCTAGTCTTTGGCGGGCTTTTCCTGCGCAGGTACAAGGAGTTGGATTTCAAAGCTACTGCGCATGCGTGGTTTCCCATGACTTTCTTGATTGGCTACTGGAGAAGGGAGTCCCACAATGTTATTTCATTATAATGATATTATAATGAATCAGGGAGTAGCGCGCAGGCGCATTCTATGATTCAGAGTTCTCCCAGAAAACAGGAACAACCCGTCTTAGGGGGTCTTTGTCATGTATAGGTGTTTTCTACCTCAGCCCTGCGGGGCCTCTGGAGCTTCCTTCCTGACTACCTCCTGCCTCAACTTCCCCCTGAGAGACATGGTTCTCAAAAATCTTTTTGGGGTTGTTGAAGGATGAAGATCCGTCTTCCATAGCTGCTTCAGGCTTAGATTGGACAGTAGACCCTGCCTATTGAGAACCACGGAACTCTCGCCCTATTCTATCTAGGGGTTGAAGAGGAATTCCTGAGGCCACCGCAGATGCTGTATGTTGGTCAGCTTCAACATCGTTCTCAGGGATTGGTTGGAAACCTTGGAGCGTCATCAGTTTGACATGGAACTGCTTAAGTCTAGAAGAAACAAATTTAACAAGTAGATTAAATAAGCAAGGTCCTAAAAGTAGTAAAACCAGCAGTGTTATTAAGGGCCCTAAGAAGGGTAATAACCATGTTAAGCCAGGGAACCAGGAGGTCAGGGCTTCCTTAATCCCTTGGCCCTGTTGATTATACTTATGTAGCCATTCTGCCTGTTCATAAATTTTCTTTATGTTAGTTTCGATCACTCCAGAGTTATTTACATAGGTGCAGCAGGTTTTATTGATAACAGCACATACCCCTTCTTGTTCTGCTAGAAGATAGTCAAGGGCAAGGCGGTTATCCATGATTACATTTGCCAATGAGTCTACTGATCTTGAGAGTCCAGCTAGAGTACCAGCAGTATCTTTGGAGATTTCTTCTATAATCTTAGTGAGTTCCCTTAGAGTGGCCTCATGATAGGCGAAACCTCCCCAGGGGGCTGCAGCGGCTATAGTGGCAGCAGCTCCAGCCACTACTAGACCAAAAGCTCGTTTTTTTCTGCTGAGAGATGGACTCCCAGGACCCATGGTTATATTTATAACAGTAAGGTCTTGGGGTGCCAAGGTCCCTAAGGTACAGTCACCCCCCATGTTTAGAGTTGCTGAGATGAGTATAAGCAATAGCTTCTTGAAGTTCTGAATGATCCGTTAGCCAGTTATTGGGAGTC